AATTCGGCTTGCAGTTACCCAGAACTAGCTCTCTCCCGAGGGACTGATCTCAATACCGTTATTCATCACCAAGGCAGCGTGGATGTTTGTTCGTTCAAAGGAAGAAATAAGCAGAGAGAGACTAAATAGAAAAAAAAAATTGCTGGCTTAAGTAAACAAAAGAAAATTCCTCAGTAGCAAACACTTGTGCTGAGGTTAACGGTCTGTAAATGCGGCATTTGAGAAGCTGCTTTCATCCTGGGGTAGCTCTTGATCTTTTGGGAGAGACGCATGAGCGAGCCCTCTCCGAGACTGCGCTAAGAGCTGTTGCCTCGCGTTACTCGAAACGCCTGAAATGCGCCCAAAGCGTATGTAAACCCCCTGCCCCGGGCTGGCCGGTGGGACCGAGACCTGCAGCAGTGAGGGAGTCATTGGGATGGCTCCAAAATCCATCCCTGCGACAGCATCAGGGAGACCCGGACCCAGGGCCCCTCCGGGTGAGGAACGACCATAAAATATAAGGTTTTCCCCATAAACCAGTGCCCTGGGGCAGGGCTGGGGGCTTCACCGACTCGCCTTCAGCAGCGCTTCGACGCGTTACGGAAAGCCGCTTTCTGCGTGTAAAGCCATCGGAGGTGGATGTTTATAGCGGGACGCCGGTTGCCAAGTCAGCTGAGTAACGTCCAGCAGCGACTGTCCCAACTGCGGGGGTTTGGCATCGCTTTTGGGCAGAACCAGCCTCTGCCAGGCTCTGCTGCCTCTGCGCCCCGCAGCCTGGCACCCCCTGAAGCCCACCGTGTAAATGTGTATTTATTTAAACCTTCTGGCACAGGCTCCAAGAGCATTTGGCCAGAGCCTGGATCTGGTGGCAGAGAAGAGGAGGAGAGAAGCATTTTGGCTGGGGCTAATAAATAAAGCTTAGGCTAACTGAGTGCTGGGAGCTAAGGGCCAAAGTACTTCCAAACACAGAGCACATTCCAAATCTCTATTTTCCGGAGGTTAAATTACTTTCCCCTTTTAAAAAATCAAATTGGTTTCTGCTGCACTGCTACACTGGAGGAGTTTCTCTTGGTTTAGTGCATATTTTGTCCCCTGAAATTGCTGCTGGAATTGGGCGTTGCTGGTGGTGATTGCGGATGGGAGAGGTAGGCCTGCCAGATTCGTGCCAGGAACAAGAAAGCCGAGGTTGGACATCGGTCTCGTAGCATAACTGGGGTTTTCCCAGCTCTTGCAGCTGGTGACACCTCCCTGCTCCTTGGTGCCTGGTCCCCGGGTCCCCAGCCCCAGCCCGTGGGCACCCGCTGCCCGTCCCTCCCCGGCCCCTGGCGTCACTGCGGCTGCAGCGGGGGAGCGAGGAAAGGACCCCAACTCCTTCGCCCTGAGACCCCTTCTGATTATTTTCCGGGGACTTTTGTTTTCAGTCTGTTTCCCTGCAATGTCCCTGCTTTGGTTATGTTTTTGTTTTAATACTTCTAACACTCGTCTTGTGCTGTTTAAAGATGCAACATTTCCTGGCTTGGTATAAAACTGATAATCTCTGGAAAGGGATAGTTGTGTGTTTACATCAGCTGTTGTTTTGGACAACCAACTCTCCAGAGCTATTAGTTCACTGAAGTTGCGCGGTGGCCAGGCGTTACGGGATCGCACGCTCCTGCCAGCCCGCGCTCGCCCTCGGCAGATGGCTTCAAGCTGTTCTCCATCACCTTGGGAAAGCTGGTGCAGCGGGGACGTGGTGCCCGGGTACGCCTGTCCTGGGTCCAGCCGAGCCTGCGGGGTACGCCTGTCCCGGGTCCGGCCGAGGCTGCGGTCTGGGCTTGCAAATCTTGCAGCATTTTGTTTTAATTAGGCTTGGTCTCCGCAGCAAAGCTCGGGGCTGAATCCAAGCTCTTCCAAGGAGACGACTGCAGCGGGAGCTCTTTGCAACGTGGTCCAGCCGGAGCTGGCGAGCATCTAGTGATGCTCTGAGCGGATGAGATCGCCTTTCACGGCGTCTGGGGCAAGCTCTCGGAGCAGGGATTTCAGAGGGACAAACCCACCCCTGCGCACACGGGCACTTCTCGCAAAAGCGGTGAAAACTTTCCCAGCGCAAGCGGTCGCAGGGCGAGCGCGGCACCGCCATCCGGGGCAGCTCACGATGAAGTACCCCGCAGGACCCCATTGGCCCTTCCTCCATTTATATTGCTGAATTAGGGGTTTTGTTTTCATTCCTGGCCTCTGTTTACATTCCTTGTATCCTAGGTTAATTCTTCCAAAACTCGAGCAGTAAGAGCATCCAGTGCATTACATCCTTGGAAAGGTCAGGCACGAGGAAGCATCTGGGAGGGAAAGGCCGGAGAGGGGGGAAAAAATGAGCCCACGTGGGAAAATGTGCGGTGAACTTCTGGGACGGCTTCAGCGTCTCTCCAAACGGAGGGAAAATAAGGTCAGGCCAGTGGCGAGCTGGTAGCGTGCGCTCGTGTCCGGGGTCTGTTTTCAGCTCTGGAGACGTCGGGGTGGGAGCTGGAGCCAGGACTCGGCTCGGAAGCACAGATGGAAGTCTAAAAAGTTACTGTTAGGCCGTTATTTTTAAGAGGTGCCTAAAAAGCTTATTCTGCGCTGTAGCCGGACGCAGGGAAGCGTGGGAACTCTGTTTCTGGCTCCGTCCTCAAACTGGTTCGGTCGGGGTCTGTTTTGTGGGGCAAAAACCCCTCATTTGCAGGTATGCCCCAGCCACCCGTTGGCGGGGGGATGATCTGGCGTGGAGCCGGGGCTGCTTATGTTGACCCAAAAGCGCTCAGCGAGTTAAGAGCGGGCAGGATGCGAGGTGGCAGCATCTCAGGGCGCAGCCGTCAGCCCTGCCCTGTGGTGTCCGTCGCAAGTTGGGAGCTGCAACGCGGGCCGTGAGGTTGCAGTAAATCAATTCTTCATTCCCTCGACGGGAAGAAATTAATTTGGCTCTTTAGTGTTAGCATGCATTAGTCATTGCTGCAGCCCGGGGGGTCCACGGCCCGCAGTGCCTTTGGCTGCAGAGCGTGCACGATCCGCACGGTGCAGGACCCCTACTCT